ACCACCACCACCACCCTGGGAAAGTCCCCGACTGCCTGAGACGCTCCCTTCAAAGGGAACCTTTTGTCCGCATCCGTGATAACTTGGAGCGCCTTCCCTAAGTGGGGCCTTGGTGGTGCTGGGAAAAGGGGCAGCCTCTGTGCGAAGGCCGGCCTGATCCGCGGAGAGCGGTCCTTCCCAGTCTCTCTGCCCTTCCCAGGATTGTAACCCCCCCCCTGCTGTCCTTCCCCGCAGCCCATGACCGATCTGGACTCAAAGATCCAAGAGAAAGCCATGAAAGTGGACATGGACATCTGCCGGCGTATCGATATCACAGCCAAGCTGTGCGATGTAGCACAGCAGCGCAACTCGGAAGACGTTTCCAAGATATTCCAGGTGATTCGGTTGGCCCGGCCCTGTGGAGGAGAAGATGGCTGTGTCGTTTAGGGAGGAGAGGAGGAGGAGGAGGAGGAAGCAGGAGTGGAGCTGGGGGAGACGGTTGATGACCTTCCTGGCCCCCACTCTCCCCTCCTTCCCTCCTCCTGGCCGGGTTCAAAAGTCCCAGACTCCCAGGAGGAGCCGTGTAGTTCTCAGGAAGTCCCACTTGGAGAACCTGCCTGTTTCTCTAGCTCAGGGGTAGGCAACCTGGGCTCTTTTACGACTCGTGGACTTCAACTCCCAGAATTCCTGAGCCAGCCACGCTGAGGGGAAAGGGAGAGGTTTCCAAGCTGAGCCAGGCTGGCTCAGGAATTCTGGGAGTTGAAGTCCGCAAATCATGAAGGGGCCACGGTGGCCTACCCCTGCTCTAGTTCCTGGCTAGGGTGGGCATGGGATTAAACCAAGCAGTTGGCTGCCTTCGAGGGAGGCCTGTGAGCCAGGAGTGGCTGCCCCGAGCCCCTCGCTGGCTCCAAGGCCGAGTCCCACCAGCAGCAGCCCCCGATGGCTCCCGGACGCCCAGGTGGGGAATAGGGGCATCCCGAGGCCCTGGGGAGCAGGAGGCAGTCCCCAAACGGCACTCAGGCCCCCTTGCTTGGTGTTGGACGGTCGTGAATGAGTCTCCTTTTCATTCTCTGGTGCCTGAAACTAACCCCTGAGCGCGTGTGTGTTTTCCAGTCTTTTTCCTCCTCTGACTTCCATTCTGTGTAGCCCCTTTTCCTGGCCTGATTTAGCTCTGGCCCGTGCGGTGGGCTTCTCCCCTAGAAGCCGAGAAGACGCCTCCTGCCAGACCCTCTTGCTCTGCAGCTTCCCGCCCTGAGCGCCTCCAGATGCTTCAGCGTTTCCCCCCCCCTCTCTCTCTCTTTGGGCCTGCGCATGGCTGGCCGAGTGGCCGAGGCCGCCCGTGGCTTGCTTCTGCTGCGCGCCTCTCCCTGGCGTCCTCCTCGTGGCCTGTGACTTAACACCTCTCCTGTGGCTTGTGTGTGTGCGCGGGCGCTGGGGAGTCTTCTTCCCTTGCAGAGCGCTCGTCCTCTCTCTTCCCTGCTCCTCTGGCGGGGCAGCAGGCCGGCCCAGCCCGGCCTGGTGGTGACGGCCCTTCTCTCCGGTTAAGGTGGCCTCCAAGAAGAAGGAGCGCCGGTTCACGTCGGAAGAAGACGTGGCCGAGCAGGACACGGACAATGCCCGCTTCGCGGAAGAGGAGGTCAGCTGCTCTCTGAACATCACCGATGAGATGAAGAGGATGTTCAATCACTTGTGAGTCCCTCAGCGGGGATCCCTGCCCAGGCTGCTCCGGAAGCGGGGGTCTCCGGCCCGATCAACGGGGGCCTGCGCGTTTCCCAGGAAGCCCCAGACTGGCCCTGATCGGGGAGAGGCCATCTTGCTCCTTTATTTCTCTTCCCTAAGTCAAAGAGGGCTGAGGTTTTAAGGCCAGCTCAGTGTGCAGAGGGTGGGCTTCGGCCTTCCTGCAAGGGGGGGGGGAGTTGAGAAGCTTTGAGCAGGCTGGCCCAGTGGGGAAAAGGCGCCCGGGCTCCCCCAGGCACCACCGGACACTCTTTGTCCTAAGGTTCAGGCTGACCTCGACTTCCTCCCTCCCTCCCTGCGGTCTGGGCTGCTGGGAAGGCAGTGAGCTCAGAAGGCAGGCCTCTCTCCCAGAGGAAGTGAGGAGGGGGAGTGCGTCCCTCTGTCTCAGGAGGGCTTCAGGGAGGGAGGGAGGGAGGGAAGGAAGGGGGAGAAGGAAGAAAGAAGGAATATCGAGGGGGAGGGAGGGAGGGAGGGAAGGGGGAACATAGGAGAAGAAATATTGAGGGGAAGGAAGGAAGGGAGGGAGGAGACAGGAAGGTAGGAAGGAAGGAGAGGAAGGGAGGGAGGAAGGGAGGAAGGAGGGAAGGAAGAAGACGAAGGAAGGAAGAAGGGAGGAAGGAAGGAAGAAGGAAGGAAGGAAGGAGACAGGAAGGGAGGAAGGAAGAAGGGAGGAAGGAAGGAAGGAAGAAGACGAAGGGAGGGAGGAAGGAAGAAGGGAGGAAGGGAGGAAGAAGACGAAGGAAGGAAGAAGAAGGGAGGGAGGAAGGAAGGAGACAGGAAGGGAGGAAGGAAGGAAGAAGACGAAGGAAGGAAGGAAGGAAGAAGACGAAGGGAGGAAGGAAGGAAGAAGACGGGAGGAAGGAAGGAAGAAGACGAAGGAAGGAAGGAAAGGAAGGGAGGAAGGAAGGAAGGAAGGAGACAGGAAGGGAGGGAGGAAGGAAGAAGACGAGGGAAGGAAGGAAGGAGACAGGAAGGGAGGAGACGGAGGAAGGAAGGAAGGCTAAAGTAGCAAACCCAGACCAGGCACTGTTCCTTTGGGCTGCTGTGGGGGGGGGGGGGGCAGACAGGCTGCCCTTTGATTCAGGCACAGTCGCGGGAGCCGAGGCGGCAGGACTGTTGCTTAGTGCAGAGCGCCCCCTGGAGGGCTACGTTCTTGAAGCAGGGCTGGCCTGTGGAGCGACGGAAGGCAAGGCGGGCGGGAGGGAGGGAGGCTGGGAAAGCGCCCGTCTCCGCTAGTGCCAGCCAGTCCTCGGGGCTTCCTCTGAAGCCGGAAAACCAAACCAAGTTGTAACCGAGTTGTAACGTAAGGACGCGTGTCTCTCCAAGCAGGCGGGAGACCTTTGACTTTGATGACGACTGTGACAGCCTGACTTGGGAGGAAAACGAGGACACTCTGCTCCTGTGGGAAGACTTTACCAACTGCAACCCCACCGTGGAGCTCCCAGGAGAGGTGAGGGGGGGCCCAGCTCACTTCTCCCTTCCCCCCCCATGACAGCATCTGCCTTCCAAGCCCCGGACTCGACTCAGCCGCTTTTACTCAGGGCCCACTTTCCATGGATGGACTGCTATTAATAGCAGCAGCAGCAATAGCCCTTAGACTTACATCCCAATTCACAGCCTTTACACGCAGTGTTTCTCAACCTTGACCATTTTAAGGCATGTGGACTTCAACTCCCAGCATTCCACAGCCAGCATCGCTGGCTGTGGAATTCTGGGAGTTGAAGTCCACATGCCTTAAAACGGTCAAGGTTGAGAAACACTGCTTTACAGAGTCAGCCTGTTGACCCCCCCCCCCCACCAACCTGGGTCCTCATTTTACCGACCTCAGAAGGACGAGTCAACCTTGAGCCGGTGAGAATCGAACTGCCAAACCGCTGGCAGCCGGCAGTCAGCAGAATCAGCTTCCAGTGCTGCACTCTAACCACTGCGCCCACCACAGCTCAGTCAATCGGGTCAAATGTTTAAATATTAACCTCACTTCACCAGCAGGCCCAGTGCCTGCTTTCATTTTAGTTCTGCTTCCTTAGCTAACTGTTCAGTCCTGAGTTGGTGCCAGACCAAACTCACAACGGCTTCGGCAATCTTTCAGTAGCCTTTGGGCTTAATTATATCTGAAGGTATAGTGATGTTGAAGGAGAGCCTGGCCAGGCTTGGTGCCCCCCCCCCCCAGAAGGGCTGGCCGTTCCTTTCTGAAAGGGTTTTGTGCAGGCTTGGATTAGATTAATATAAGATAAGATAAGTGCTAAGATAAAATATAAGATAAAAGATAAGACATAAGATATAAGATAAGATATAAGATAAGATGAGATATAAGATAAGATATAATAAGAAAAGATGATAAGATAAGATAACCTTTATTGTTGGGAGTCTTCAAACTTGGCCCTTTTATGACTTGTGGACTTCAATTCCCAGAATTCCTCAGCCAGGCACGCTAATTCTGGGAGTTGAAGTCCACAAGTCATAAAAGGGCCAAGTTTGAAGACCCCTGCTTTATTGTCATTTTTTTTTTACTCTGGGCACAGGGCACACATTAAAAATGAAATTCTGTTGCCTGCTCTCAAGGGTACACATCCACATAACGCACATATAAGCATGCTATATACATACATGTGCATACACCTACACCAGGGGTAGGTAACCTTGGCTCTTTTATGACTCGTGGACTTCAAATGCTGGCTCAGGAATTCTGGGAGTTGAAGTCCACGAATCATAAAAGAGCCAAGGTTGCCTACCTCTGGCCTACACCCTTACATATAAATCCCTAACATCCACAACGCGCATACAAACAAGCTATATACATACACGTGCATACACCTACATATAGGATTTACATATAAATCCCTATAAATGTGAATCCTTGTCCACCTTGAACACAAGAAAGGAGCCCCAGGAGGCAGCAGAGGAGCGGGGCTGGGGCTGCCGGAGACCCCAGGGAGTGGCCGCCTCTCCTAAGGCTGCCCCCTCGGTGTGTCTTTTTCAGCAAGAGGAGAACCTGGGCAACTTAATCCACGAGACGGAATCTTTCTTCAAAACCCGAGACAAAGAATATCAAGAAACAATAGGACAGATCGAGGTAAAGGGAAACGATGAACTGGCCTGGGAGAGGCAGGGAAGGAAGGAGAGCTGTTCTCCACCCTCCCAGGCCTTCTCCGCTGCAGGGGGGGTGGGAGTGAAACCGAGGGGTGTCCCTCGGCTGCAAAAAAAACGCTGTGCGGTGTGTCGCAGGCGCACAAAAACGGGCGAAGGGCCTAGTCACCGTCTTCCAAAGGGACGCTCTTTGTCCACAGCCCAAGTCCCCTGAGGTTGCTGGGGCCCAAGGGCTGTTCGGCAAAGGCCCCTACGGAGGGCAGGGGGGGGCTCGGTTAACCGCCTGTCCTCCCTCCCCCCCCTCCATCCACAGCTGGAACTGGCCACCGCGAAGAGCGACATGAACCGTCACCTCCACGAGTACATGGAGATGTGCAGCATGAAGCGAGGGCTGGACGTCCAGATGGAGACCTGCCGGCGGCTGATCAAAGGCTCCGCGGAAAGGTGGGGCAGGAGGAGGGGGCACCCAGACCCCCGGCGGGAGTGGGAAGGCAGCAGGAAGAGGCTGATCTCCAGTTTTCCGCAGAGGGTGTTTTAATAATAATAATAATAATAATAATAATAATAATAATAATAATAATAATAATAATAATAATAATAATAATAATAATAATGTTGGAAGGGACCTTGGAGGCCATCTAGTCCAACCCCCGGCTCAGGCAGGAAACCCTATACCATTTCAGACAAATGGCTGTCCAGTCTCTTCTTAAAAACATCCAGTGTTAATAATAATAGTAAAGTTGGAAGGGACCTTGGAGGTCATCTAGTCCAACCCCCTGCTCAGGCAGGAAACCCTATACCATTTCGGACAAATGGCTGTCCAGTCTCTTCTTAAAAACTTCCAGTGTTAATAATAATAGTAAAGTTGGAAGGGACCTTGGAGGTCATCTAGTCCAACCCCCTGCTCAGGCAGGAGATCCTATACCATTTCGGACAAATGGCTGTCCAGTCTCTTCTTAAAAACTTCCAGTGTTGGAGCATTCACCGCTTCTGGAGGCAGGTTGTTCCACTGGTTAATTGTTCTAACTGTCAGGAAGTTTCTCCTTAGTTCCAGGTTGCTTCTCTCCTTGATTATTTTAATTTATTTACTTATTTACTTACTGTTTGTTTGTTTGTTTGTTTATTTATTTATTTTGCGAGTCGAGGTTTGAAATCTGATCCCGCCTTCCCTTTCCTCCCTCCTCCAGGAATTCCCCCTCGCCCAGCTCGCTCGCCAGCAGCGACTCAGGAAACACGGATGAGATTCAGGACGACTTTGACCGAGAAGCCGACGTGGAGCCGATGGTCAGCTGATGAACGCCCGGAGCGTGGGGCACGGAGGAGGGAGGGGTGGGGGTGCGGGACGGGAAAGAACAGAAAAACTTCCACAAAACCTGGGCAAAAGTCGAAAACTTCGCAGCATGAGGGATCCAGGACTTCAGCGTCCTCAGCCGGCGTTCCCGGAGGGCCCGGCCCTCCCGCGTCATCTCAGGATTGGTGCTGTAAAAAACAAAAACAAACTTTTGTACTGTTCCGTCAACGACAAATGTGACAAAAACTGCAGTTCTACCTGTGCCTTCGCCCCAGGCTGGGCCCAAGCGAGCTCCTGCGTGGGCACGTCCACCTGCTTCGGACGGAAGGCCAGCTCCTGGCGATGGGCGCCTCTGCCGCGGGAAGGGGGGGGAGGTGGACTTAAAAAGAGGCTCCAGACCGACGTCCTTCTTTGGCTGCCCGCCCGGGGTGGCCAACCCAAGGAGAGCCTGGGAGGGTAAGAGCCGTGGCAGGACAACGCCAGAAGGACCACAGGGTGGGGGAAGGTCGCAGTTTTTAACTACTATGCAAAAAAAACACAAAACAAAAAAAAGCAAAGTGCTTTGCTTGCCTTATTCCCGCGGCACGTTTGGGCCTCTGCCGTGCTGGGATCCCTCTCCCGAGCGCGTGGCGGTTTGGTACCCTTGACCCGGCCTGGGGTTCTGTCCGGTTCTGCTTTGTGAAGGTCTGTCTGCCGCCTTGGCCTGGCTGGAGAGCTGTGTGGTGGTTGTTTTTTGTCTGCTGCTTCCCCGAGCGCCGGGCGTTGTGTTCCTGGGCTCAGGGGCTTCAAGAGATGAGGAGGGAAGCCATGGGGGTGCCCAGGCTGGCGGCAGCTGCCTGGCACCCGAAACGCCCTCTTGTGTTTACGTTCTGTTGACGCTAAGTATTCTCTGGGGACGAGGGGTGTGTCTGTGCCATTCAGGAGAGGTTGGCGCATCACACAAACACGCAACTGAAAAGGGAAGCAAGACCCTTTTTCCCCCTTTCGCTGCCCATGTTTGGTGGTGGCACTGTGTGTATCCAACTGGCTGGCCAATTAATTGGTTGGCGTCCATGGGCAGGCTGGCGTTTGATGTGAACGTGGCAGGATGAGGGTCAGGAGACCCCCCCATCCACACCTGAGGCCAGCTGGAAGCCCCCCTCCCTTCTGCCCTTGTTCTGTGCTATGAAATGTCTCCAAGGAGGTGTGTGGTTTGTGTCCTGCGCAAACAGCCACTGTGTCTAGAGGGAGCCCTTTGGTGATGGGCTGCTTAGGGCACTTTTTCCCCCACAACCCCTGTGAGTTTTTGGTGTGTGTGTGTGGGGGGGTGTTAATTCTTCTTCCAAAGTGCTTTTCCTTTCCTATATTTTTTTTCCTAGCCAAAATTGCACCCTTTTCTTTTCCTTAAAAAAACACACCTCTCACGCTGCTATTATTACTTTTTTGTTCTTGTTGTTAAGAGTCGATACACGGTACTTTCGTAAAAAACTTGCCTTGAGGTCACCGAGCCGGAGTGTAATTTGGGCTGCTTTAATTGGCGGTTTTTGCGGAAGACCTAGCCATGCGCTTCTCCTCCCAGGCTTTTGCCCTTGAACATCTGTCGGATTTCACAGTTGTTTAGCGGCCTGGCTGTTGAGAGTACGCTCTTCCATCGCCGCAGAAATTGGGCGCCTCGCGGATTCCCCCGTTTCCTTGCGCTGCTCGATGTGCCTGTTATTGTTTTACTTCTGAACGCACAAGCAGGGTTTGGTGTGTAAGCTTTTTAACGGACAGCATGTGAATGCAGGTTGGTAGGAGGTGGGCACGGTTCCCACTGGGGGGGGGTACCTGGGTGAGGAAGGGACCGTCGCCTGGCGTTGGGGGCACGAGGGCAGTTCTTTTGAGCTGGAACGAGGTGGTCCCGGAACCCCCATCCCCAGGGGGTGCCCAGAAGTTAAGATGGCAGGTGCACAATCCAATCCCCACTCCACTTTCACCTGCACGGGGTGGAGAACGGGTCCAGCCTCCATCTTGGCTTTTTTTGAAATCCACCCCCCCAGGATGGCCTGGGCAACTTGTCACAGAGAAGATATGGTGGCTATTTTTGCAGGTGTCGAAGGGAAGCGGGGGGAAAATTGCCTAAGACAATAAAAGTTGTGATGCTACGGGATCGCGCGGGTTAAACGGGTGGTCACCGATATTGTACGCAGGCTTTAATTAAGATTTTTGTTTCCACTGCATGGAACTTGGGGAGGCTTGCCCCACACGTGAGCGATTCAAGGGTCAACAGAGCGGTGTGCAATTGTGGTCAGGAGTGCCCAGCACGGCTTCGCTCTGGGAGCGTCGGCATTGATGGTGCTGGCACAGTGGGCAGGCGGGGTGGGTGTGTATGTGCTGAGGGGTCTCTCCAGTGATTTAAAGTGCACCAGGAAAAGGAAAAAAATATTGGTGGGGCTGCGGGACATACGTTCAATTACTTCCTTTCTCTTCCCCCCCCCCCTTTCTGTAAGGCTGTAAATACTTTGTTTTGTGTTCATAAGGCCGTGTCCCAGCGACACTTTTAAAAAGACTTACCAATCTCGTGTTCTCGTGGGTTTTTAAAGGCGGGGCGGGGGTGGAAGCTAACAGTTTTCCGTTGCTTGTTAGCAGGGTGATGGCGGTCTGTCCAATTCCTAAGCAAACTGGGTTTCATACAGCATTTGGGGAGAAGCATGTTGTTTAAAAGGCGGGGGAAAAAGAGAGAATAAAATGTCCAAAGAAACCATGTCTTGTTCCCAGGGTTGTGTAATTTAATTTTAGCTCAAGCCATGATGAGGACGCCGTCCTGTTTCTGAAATTTAAGCCTGTTAACGTTCTCTGAGCTCAGGCACCTATTCCTTAAAATCAGGAAATCACACCTTTGTTATCGCACAGCATGCGAGGGAAATGATTTGGGAAGCAGAGACTCCGTCCTTCCCTCCTGGATCCGGGACATCCCCACAGGTCCGGCGGTTCCAGGGGGAAATTATTCAAAGCCAATTCAGCCTGGAGGTTGTGTTAACGGCAGGGTTGGGTCTGAATCTTCTTTAAGCTGGAGTAAGTCGAACATTTGCAGAGCTGCTTAAGACCAAAACGGTGTTTTATCATTTTAAAACGGGGGGGGGGGGTTGTGGGTTTTTCTTCCCGCCGCAGCATTCTCATTCGGAGCAATGTGTACTGTCCGCGTTTGGGGTGCATGTGAAGGTGGGGAGAGAAGGACGATTCCGAGCAATAGTTTGTCACCCCAAACCTTATTCCACTTTCTCGAGGTCGGCCGAGTCCTTGATACAAAAGCCGACTGTGTTTGGGATGGAAATGTTTACTGTGTTGTACATATTGTGCTTTATATTCTGTATATCGGCCTGTTTTCAAGGGGGGGCTTGGATTCCACGTATTTGTGCACTTGCCAGGAGAAACCCGTTGGTTAAGCTTGTTCCAAAGGGGTTGTGGGTGTCGTTTTTCCCCTCTTTCTGTTCCCCCTTAAAATTTTGGATCGGGCACTGAGAATTGGTGACTTCAGACCCCCCCAGGGGGTGGTTTCCACACACCGTCTCCCCCCACCCCGTGCCAAACCTTCCATACACATTGAGCCAACCTGTCCTTATCCCTTTTCCCCAACACTGTGTGACACACCCACACCCTTTTGCACCTTGGGGTCATTGCCCCATGTTGCCCTCTTGGAGAAGGCACGTACGTCTGTGGTTGGACCCTCCTTTGAACACCCCTCTCTCCTCCCCCCACCCCCCCAATTCTCCCTTAGGAAGGGTGGTGGGTTTATCTCCGGTCCCCCTTTCGTACGATAATGTACCAAACGGGTTTCTCTGTGAATCAGGGATGTTCTTGGGGGGTGGGGGGGGGGAAATGGGGTACGGTCGTTCTTGGTTTCAGAGGAAGAAAAACCCCTGACAATAAATGCCAAATTTTCTGGTTACTAAAGTTTTGTGTGGGTCTCTTTTTCTTTCGCCCAAACATCCCTCCCTCCCTCTCGGGCCTCTGCTCCTGGGTGCCAGTCTTCCCCCATGGGCATGGCCCAATCCTTACCCCGTGCTCCCAGGAGGCCTCATGTTGCCCCCAATGCCACCCACTCAGGAAGAGTCCTCCCCATATTCCCCCCCCCTCCCCACCGCCAATCAAGGTGAGCCCAGAAGACACAACTTCCTTGCAGGGTAGGACAGCCTGTGCCAAGCGGGCACCAGCTGGCTTTTATTCCAGCCTATCGTTGGGCTTGGACGGTGCCCAAGATTGGCTGCCTGGCAATCTTAGCCGCACACGCCCCCTGCGAGGTAGGCTGGCCTGAATGGGGACGGGGACACACACACACACACACACAATCAGTGGCATCCCCCTTCCCAAGTTGCAATCGCCGCCTCCTTGGGGCAACGTCCCTGGGTTTGGAGCGGGGCCGCTGCGCCCGGTTCCCCCCGTGAGAGTGATGGGAGTTGTAGTCCTGCGTCACCCCCCACTTACCTCCCTCCCTCCCCTGCGCCCCACTCAATTGAGCAATTTTCCCAGGGGGAGGAGTAGGGCCGGCGCGGCTCCCGATTGGTGCTCCAGGGGGCGCCTTCGGATTGGTCGCCCTGCTTCCCGCCCCTTTCCCTGGGCCGGCGAGGGACTCGTCCATTCGCGGCGCCCGAGAGGGGTGTTTCCTTGCCCTGGAAGGCCCTTTCTAGAGCTTCGAAGCCACTTCCCAAAGCTTACAGAAATATATGTATATATATATATATATATAAAACGGGGTAATCGCGTCCTTCTCGAGGAAAGAAAAACAAAGAGCGGCTTCGACCAAGGGAGAAAAAAAAAAGACCGGCTCCCCCCCTTTTCTCCCCCGAGGAATGGTTCGGCCCAATCGGCGGCATGCGCCGCCCGGCATCGCCGCCGCCCGTCTCTTCCCTCAGGATCGGGCGGGAGGAGGAGGATGGCGCTGCCTCTGCTCCGCCGGCCGGGCTCCCTGCGCGGGCTGAGGTGAGTCTCTCTCTCTCTCTCTCTCTCTCTCTCTCTTGGGGGACCGTGGGGAGGGGGGACTCCC